AGAAGACACACTTTAAACAAATCTTGATCTTGCTTCACAACTTCAATCAAGAGACACAACACTCATGCTTAAAAGCTTAGAGTGACACAATCAACATACAACTCAAAAGCACACTAGTCCAATACAATCATCTAGGAAATGATTGCTTGGCTCACAAGTAATCCTAAGACACAACAACACACATGAAGGACAAATTCCACAAACGTAATTCTTCACTCAAAATCTCTAAAAATACACATTTAGGATTGTCACTCTTCTATTTATATGCAACACACGAACTTTGGGCCTAAGGAACATAAATTAGGTTTAACCAAGTTAAACCCTTTTTCCATAATTCAGATGCTACGAATTAGGTCACATCTGTTTCATGTTCTGCCCAGGCCTGACTAGAATCTCGCCTGAGATAACTAAGGAGCCATAACAAGTTTCCTGAATTCTAGCCTGAGATATATCAGGCACCCTAATTGAAAAACCAACACGCGCCCTTACTGTCAGCTTACCTGATGTCATAATATTCAGCTTGACATCCAATATGCTTTGTACTAGCTAACTAAACTTACCCTGCAATACACTACTCAAGGATGTCATGACATCAGCCAAGACATCTACACACACAACAATGTTTTACCATAAAATGCAGTCAATCAATAACATCTACAGTTACCTTATAAGAATGGTACTTCAAATGCTCGAGATATCCCTTCTATCATCTCCACACCCATTGCAACCCCTACACCTCCTCAGCAGGCTTACCAGCGACAGATACCTCATCCATCGAAGGTAAGAGATGATATTTATGTCACCTGAACTTGACCTTTAAATATCATTACAAAAATGTATTCGCTCTCAACATCCTAATCTTAAATATGCGTGTGTTTTAAACTATGATAGTCTCTCTACATCCTATGTATTTTTTGTTTCTGCTATGGGTTTTGTGTCTATTCCCAAGTCTAAAACTGAAGCTATGATCGATCCCAATTGGTGTTAGACGATGGTGGAATAAATGGTTGCGTTGCATTCAAATAACACTTGGGTCATTGTTACTTTACCTCTATAAAAAACTACAGTGTGATATTTATGGTTTTATACTATGAAAGTTCGACCAGATGGTCACATCGATCGTTTCAAAGCTTGTTTGGTAACCAAAGGATACACACAGATATTTAATCTTGAATATGGTGATACTTTTTCTTTAGTAGCCAAGATCATTCCAGTCTGTATGTTTCTTGCAATGATTGTCATTCATCATTGGTCGCTTAATTAGTTAGACATTTAAAATTCCTTTTTAGACGAAGATTTAGAGGAAAAAGTTTATATGGATCAGCCTTTAGGTTTTACTATTCTTGGAAATTCTAGACTTGTTTTTCAGCTTCGTCATTCTCTTTATGGGCTGAAATCATCCTCACGTGCTTGCTTTGGTCACTTCTGCTCCACCTTAATACAGTTTAGTATGACTAAATGTGAAGCAGATCATTCTATTTTCTTCCTTTATTCCTCCAACGATTGGTGCATCTTTCTTGTGGTTTATGTTGATGACATTGTGATCACTAGAGACGATACATATGGTATTCAACATCTAAAAACTCATCTTTTAAAAAAATCTAGACAAAAGACTTAGGTTCAGATGCTTCTTAGGCATTGAAGTTGCCTAATCCTCATACATCATTGCAATCAACCAGCACAAGTATACCATACACATTCTTAGTGAAACAAGTATGTTTGATTGTCGTTCCATTGATACTCTTATGAACTCCAACGTCAAGCTTATTATGGGTCAGTGGGAGCCATTGAAAGACCCTAGAAAATATGGACGACTGTTGTGGGTAGACTTAAGTGTCTTATAGTCACCAGACTAAATATTATATTTGCGGTGAGCATTGTGAGCCAGTTTCTAGATACTCATTGGGATGTAGTCATTCGAATTCTTAGTTATGTAAAGAATGCACCAAGAAAACGACTATTATATTAAGATAAGGGTGATATTAAAATAATTTGTTTTTCAGATGCAGAATGGGCCGGATAACTGTCGGATAGAAGATCCACATTCGAATGTTATGTTATGATTGAAGGGAATATGATATCTTGGAGAAGCAGGAAACAAAATACAGTTGCACTATCTAGTGCTTAAGATGAACATCGTGATATGATAGTAGCCTAAAAGAAGCTTGCATGGCTTAAAAATTTACTCTCAGAATTTAGGTTGGGAGATCTTCAGAACACAAAACTTATATGCGATAATCAAATGACACTCCACATTACATCTAATTCTGTTTTCCATGAACGAACCAAACCCATAGAAATAGTCTGCCATTATGTAATGGACAAGGTACTTTTAGGAGAAATCACCACAAATTTCGTCAAATTTGAAGACCAATTGGATGATATGTTTACACGACCTCTTAGACGTTCTCGAGTGGATTATATTTGTAGTAAGCTCGACTCAGATGACATATATGATCCATCTTGAAGGGGAGTGTTAAAAATATTTGTATATAGAAAAGTTTCATATCGATTATAGTATGCAATTAGTTGTAAATCTCTCTATATATAAAACCGTCTTTGTAGTGCTATTTAAACACACAAATTATTCAAATGTCTCTCACTCTCTTATACTTCAATACACACAAACTTTATTTGAAATTAACCTTGATGAAAACATCTTTCTTGAGTTGATTTCTTGAGTGTGAAAAAGTTTGTGTGAGATTCTTCTGAGAAGCTCCATCTTCAACCTTTAGCCAAAACTACTATTATTGTTGTTACTCAACTCTAAGAGAGAGTCTGAGTGGTGGTTGTAAGATATATTAGGAGTTCTAATGATTTTATGAATATTAATTTTTCCTTCAAATTGAAGAATCAGATTTTGAATGTGATTTTTGGAGATTGACACTCAGCGATGAAAAAGAAGAATTTTTAGAATTTTGATAGAATCGAGTGAAAATCACTTTAGACGTAGTCTTGGAGTGTTTAGCCATTTCATCAATTAAACTAGTAAACAATCTTTCACTATAACAAAAGATAAGACATATATGAAATGTGTTCCTTATGCTAGTGAGGTTAGCAATTTAATATATGTCATGGTGTCTACGTGTCTAAATATTTCATAAACAGATAGTGATTTTAGTATATTCATGGCAAGTTTAGGAAAAAAAACACTGGGAAGCGATAAAATGGATGGTTTTGAAGTACTCAAATGGTACCATTGGCACATATTTGTGCTTTGGTAGAGATACATATTTTATTAATTTTAACTATATTGGTGATCTAGATGGATAATTTACTAATTATTTATTTAAAATATATTTTACTTCAATAAATTGTCGAACAATATTACAAGCTAAATAGCACTATCTATATCAGAAAGAAGAATAAGGGGAAAGGGAGAAGGTGGATTTTCTAAATTTTGACATAAAATTTTTTTTTGGTAGAAACATAAATGTCTCTTATTTTAGCTTTAAATTTATGTGGCCAACAACATTAAAAATGGAGTATAGAACAGGCCTTGTCACGGTTTAAGAATGTCCAACAAAATATGTCTCCATTTATGTTTTGTAAAACACTAATAGTTGTTTTTTTCTCAATAATTAAATTAAATTGGATTTCTATTATACAAACATTTTATTAGTCTATGAGTAGTTCACATTCCATTGGAAAAGGACACCATTTTCACTTTTCATTTTAATCTGATTTTCCTCTTTTGCCATGTTTTAGTTTGAAGTTGAACTTGTGATATGTGTTTGTCTTTGGTGAATTCAGACAGCAAACCATAAAGAGTTGACAAAAGAGTATATGAACACTCTGGTGAAGAAGTTAACTTACACCATAAATGATAACTCACCCGTGAAGAACACAACTGTCTTAAAAATAATGACACCAAAACTTGTTAAAGTACATCCAATTCTTTGTCCCACCAAAACAATGCACTAGTCAGAAGTCACTATAACCACATGGATATGGAGCCCACCAAAATAAAATACAAAACTTTATAAATGGATGTTGTTGGTTGCACATTTAGTAATACTCTCAAACCTTTAAATTTTTGAAAATGAGGAACATCTAGATTTCAAAATCCGAAAGCATTCAATGCACAAATAGGTTTGGGGTTTTGGATGCATTTCACATGAACTTGAGAGACGCGTCTGAATTTTAGAATTCGAAAGAATCTGATGCACAAATAACTTTTGGGTTTTGGATGCATTTCACATGAACATGAACAGGAGAGGTGAGTCTAGATTTTAAAATTTGAACATGGCTATTTGTACATTGAATGTGTTTTCAATGTTCTTCAAACTCTCTTGTAATATGTGGTACATCTGGATTTCAAAATCCAAACTATGCAAGAGGGTTATTTTTGGAAATTCCATAGGGATTGAGAGTAATACTAAGGGTGCAATGAGCAACCCTCTTATAAATTGCATGTCAAACATTTCAACCCAATAACAGTTTTAGTAGATTGTCTTAAGTTAGATGAGTAACGGTTTAATTGTGAAAAATGAATGAGTTTTATTTAATCATAATTTAACAGAAACGAATTTATTATGAATCTATTTTTAGTTACGATTTAACCATAATAAATTTTGATTCATGCGTTAGAAATCCACCTTGCACACCTTTACAATCAACCATGAAGTTTAGGTCACTAGAGTTAAATTGAACTCAAATCCTCGAGTCTTGGATAAAATGTTTGCAAGATCTAGTTTGGCAGACAAATATCGATATTGTTAAATTTGACACTTTTTTCTCGGTTCGAACTCCTCAAAATCTCATAGTTGATATTGTTAAATTTGACACTTTTTTCTCGGTCGAACTCCTCAAAATCTCATAGTTGTGTGTGAGTTTCTCACTAGAGAAAACCGATTAATACTTCTCCCTAATGCTTAAAAAACATCTCAACCCAATTAAATTAATAATCAATAAGAATTACACTCCTAGAAGCTAGGCACAAAAGCTAATATTCAAATTTACAAAATGCCAAGATAGAGATCAATCTTTTTGTTCTCAACTTAGGTGGATAATATGATGAAATGCATAGCTAGTACAAAACATAGAACCAACAAAGAAAAAAAGATTGGTGATCTGAGATTAGTTGATGAAGATTGATCATACATTTCAGATGAATCAACAGCAAGAGGCATTCCATCACTATTAAGAGTGCATGATTGTGGATCAGATCCATCAGGACTCAACATCAAAGCGCGAAGAACCAAAGAAACCGTGTGAATATAAGCTGTTCTATTCTTAGCTAAAAGCCATGTTAATCCCATTAGTTCACAATCTTTGTTATGGATCTTTGTTGTTCTGTCTCCTGTTTTGCTTGAATTTGAAGTCTTCTTTCTAAGCTGAATAAAAAAAGTATGCATTATTTCAGTTAGATACTAATAATTAAAAGTAACAGCACATCATTTTGATATAATAAATAGGTTTGGTGTAATGTAACATCCATTTATTGAAAAATAGTCAAAGCTGCACATGATTATTTTGTAAAGATTTTAATATAGAACATTATGTTATGCTATGATTATTTATTTTTTCTGAAGCAATGCACTTGAAAGTATCTTCAAATGCAATAAACAAACAACAACTTAAGTACAATTTTTTTAATAGTAATATTTTAAGATTCTGAAACAAATGCATGGATTTTATAAAGGGACAGCATTTTTGTAAAAATCAGCAGGAACAATAAATCCAAATGTGGTCACAGATGTTGTCATCTAATGCTGGTAACTATGAGTTATGTAAGAAATGTAAATCAAAGGAATATTCAGATTTCACTTTTACTTATTAGCCGACATTTTATTAATAATCTTCACTGATTAGGACATTTTTGGATTCAAGGTGAGTTTGACAGTGATTTTATTGAAACATCAGAGCGTAAGTATTTTTTTTAAAATCACGTTGGTTCACCGGAATTTTATAAAACTCTGAATCCAAACAAGTAGGAAGCTGCTTTAAAATTGATTATGATGTCTTTTCCTTTAAGATACAAAACACTTCTTTTAAGCAAGAGCTTATTTTGTACATGGGAGACTATTTAAGTCATCTAATTAGCAAACTTTTCAAGAAGGTTAACAAAATAGAGAAAAGAAATTAGGAAAAGGCTATGTCACTAATACAATTGTTAAGGGTTTTTTAACCTTAACACTTCTGTTCTCAGGGAAATGGATTCTAGTAATTCAGAATTCAATCTGAAGATAAGTAAAGTCTGACCAATGACGGTTTCATTTAGGGTTTGATTTCAGATTCTCCTCGACGAGCTCATTAACTACTTGAAAGGTTGGCATTGGTGAAGACTTGGATCCTAAGAGTGTGTTTCTCTTAAGGTATTAGGTTCGAATCGCACTAAGTGGTAACAATTTCTGTGTTTGGCTAGTCCAAATAGAGATTCACTCTTGCTTCAATTAAAGCCAAGTAAAAGTATAGTGTCAAAAGATATTTCCCCCAATTACCAAGCATGAAGATGAAACCTTAATGAATTTGATATTGATCTTCTTCAATTTTGAATAAGATCCATCAAATTCCAAGTAAACAACTACACAAGAATGCTAAAAAGAGCACACACAATATATAAACAAATCTCATAAAACTTACCAAATAGAGGCTATGCAAGCACTTAGAGCAACCTCCTAGACCAGGAAATCCATTAACATCATTGCTACTACTCAAACAATTTCTCTCTAACCTCTTCACATTTTCATCTCCAACAAGATTTCCACTATGAGTAACCTTAAACGATTCAGAACAGCTTAAAGGATGAAGCCTAATACCACAGTAACAATAAACAACATCACAAGTCTCATTCGGTTGAAAAAGCTCAATTCCTCTAACTTTCAAAGCCCTTCCCAAATCACTTTCACACGTTTCAGAATCATCAGGCAACAAAGGCATATCATAGGATGCAGTAGCATGTCCATGTTCCAAACCAGAAGAAACCCTTCCAGTTCCAAGAGCAGTAGCAGAATATGCAGAATATAACCAAGCAGCTAGCACAGGACAGCATCTACTATGCTGAAGTTTATCATAAGAATCACCACCATGTTTGCTGGATTTGATACTGCAAGCGTTTTTTATTCCATTGAAGTGTTCATCTGAGAGAGATAAAGGACATCTTGCAATATCAGCTTGTTCAGGGAAAGCAGGGATGGTTCCCTGTGAAGATGAATTTGTTGCGACAGTTTGAACCGTTGCTGCATCTGGTATAGGAAGAGATGCAAGAGAGCAAGGAATCGTGAAGAAAATGAACAAGTTTAAGAGAAGGTTATGGGTGAAACATTTTGTCAGTAACATGGTGTGCAAGTGAAATGAATGTGGATGTGAGTTTCTTCAATGAAAGAAAAGAAGGGAATATTGGTGGTGAGGTATGGGTATGGTAGCCCCTAATGTTAAGGACAGAAGTGAGAAGTAAAGGGAAAATAAAGGTGGTGTGGGGTTCTGCAAAGTTTGGCAGCATGCTAGTACTATCTCTGTAACTTGATGCTGGTAATTAGTTTTGTGGAAGAAAAGTATTTTATTCAATCTTTTCAGATTTTTTACTGTGCAAATTATATCCCTTTTTCTTGTCACTTTTCAAAACTGTCATACTTATTAATAAAGTATAATGTTACACCAATTATTAACCGATTCAACGGTGACTGAAATCACTTGATATTAGAATTGATCTCTGAATTAGATTAAACGATTCAGAGAGCCCGATATCAATAATAAAAGAAGAAAAAACAGAACGTTACCGGAATTTCTATATAATTATCATCCGAATTGATTTAGTGGTGAGATAGTCATTAAATTAAACAAGTTGTATGATATACTAATAATGGTGATATTTAATGATGAAGTTAGTAGAGCATGAAATGCGGAAAATTTCCAAAATCTATGAAACTTGTGATGTTTAGATGCAATGGCTCAGTTTACAAAGCAGGTTATTAATAATCACTTTGGGGTTAATTCTATAGTGTTGCAATTAAATATAATACTATTATTACTATTTGGGTGGTGAGCAATATTTTATGGTATTGAGTGTCTCTGAGATGCATAATTGTGTCCCTACCTTAACATAAAGTGATTATTGATGTGATGAAAAGATAAGAAACTTTAAAAAAAGTAGTACTATCTTAGAGATGGGCAAAGTGTAAAAAAAATGAAATTTGTAATTTTACAAAAATTAAAGTCTCACTATTCTTCCTAAATCCTAATCTCAATGTTGAGAGAGAAAAAAGCCAGCTGTTGCCTATGTCATTTGTTTCGTCGTAATATGATATATCCAACACACATGATATGATATTATAGCCTTCAACTTTTTGTTTTTTCTTTAGTTTACCTCTTTTATTTATTATGCTTTTCTTTTTTAAAATAAAAAAAATTATTATTATATTTTTAATCTTCTCCATTTATAATATTTTATTTGAGTTTTTGTTCAAATTTGTCTTTGATGTTATATTTTAAGCTAAATTATTTTTTTCATAATTTGATTTTAGAGTTTTTTTTTTATAAGTCGGATATCCTTTACGTATAATTGTAAAGACTAATCAATCAAATTTTGTGGAATTATAATAAACTATAAAATTTTCATTAAAAATTTAATATTGCGTGTTCATGATTAAATTTGAATCCAAAACATTTAATTAAACTGAAAAAGACCTACCATCTCATCTAATTACTCTTGAGAGTTATTTTTATCCTTAAAAAAAATATTTTTTAATTATCCCTCCATTTCGTTAATTAAAGTGAACGAGATTATGTGACATTGACTTAAAATATTTAATGAATATATGTTGTATAATTTTGTCATTTTGAGCATAGTTAAATAACACGAAAGTATTTAGAAATTAATTAACAGTGTAAAAGTTCATAAATTTATTTTAATGAAGAATATGAAAATACATCGAAAACTTATAATCATAAATCAAGAATGTGACAAAGTTATCTTCTTTTTTATGGTTAAAAAGTTTCATTCAACTAAAGACCGAAAAAACAAGTAGTTGATGTACCTCCAACTTTAAGGTCATTAGGCAAAGTTTTAGAACCAACATTCAAGGTTAAACCTACCCCGTCTTTGAGCTTCCAAGTTTTTTTTCCCTCCCAATAAAATAGACAAAGCATAATTAAACTCAAACAAGAGAGAAATACAACCATTAATCACATTTCTTAAAACTGCCACAGAATATTTCTTATGAATGCAATCCGCGACCATTAACGCATTTGTTTGGATAAAAAAATTCACGTCATTGTTGACTCTTATCAAGCTCCAAGCTCCAAACTCCACTTGACTCCCAAAGCTACAACAAGTGTAGGCTCCACTGATATCTCCTCCTTCTTATAGGCTGAGAGCATCATCTTTCCTTCCCTGTCCTTTACACAACAACCTCAAGTAGTAAATCCATTATGAAAACATCCAGCATCAACAAAGATGGAAACATATGCTTAAGGATCAATATTGTTTGTGTCATCAGAAAACTCCTTAGATTTAGTAGTCTTCATCGCAAAACTTTGTTGAACTCCTCAACTAGAGTAGTAGCACCTCTGGAAATCTCCAAAGGGCTGAAAGCTTTCCCTTGAAAGAGGAGAAGATTCCTCTCTCGCCACATCTTTCAAAGTGTTAAGATATTAGATATAATCTAAGTTGAGTTGTACGGCTCAAGCCCAAAATTAATTAGGGTTTAGAGTTTGTTATCTAGTTTGTTATTTTACTTAGTAGTCAAGTCACTTAGGTGTGTATAAATAAACACTTTATAATTCAGTTTTATATATTCATTCATTCAATAATATCAATCCTTATTTTCTTATTCTCTCTATTTCTCTCCTCACTAAAAGTGCCTCACGTACTAATAAACAAATTGGTATAAGAGCTTCGGTTAGATTCTTGATCGTGTTTTCAAAAATCACATGTCAGAGATCGTATTTTCGGGATCCTGGGTTGTTGTTGATCAATTGCTGCAAAGATAAATGCTAACGAAAATTTACCAAACTCCCTTCGAACTCTTAACGGCAAGAATTGGCTTTGATGGAGAAAATATATGCAATATCTATTTGGCTTTCATGAAACCCTAGAAGTGGTTACTAACAGTGTTCTTGCGCTTGGTGAAGATGCAACAGGTGCACAAAGAACTGTTCACAAGGATGCCAAGAAGAAGGATTGCAAGGCAGCGTTTTACATTCAATCGGCGGTTGATGCAACTAATTTTGACAGAATTGCTCATACTGAATCAGCGAAAGAGACATGTGATATTCTTGTCAAGTATTATGAAGAAGGAGAGAAATTCAAGGTTGTTAAGTTGAAAACTTTGCAACGATAATATGAATTATTGTTGATGGGATAAGACGAAAAGATTGCAGGCTATGTGTCGAAGGTGAAGAAACTCGTCTATCTCATGAAGGGTTGTAAGATGATAGTTGAGAAGGTAATCCGTACATTGACCTCTCATTGTGATCATGTTATCGTGGCTATTCAAGAATCCAACAATCTTGAAACCCTAAAACTGGAAGATTTGGTTGGTTCGTTAGAGGCGCATGGGATTAGGATTGTCGAAAGGAAAGGAGTTCAAAATTTGATACAAGTACTACAGGCTCATTCATGGAAGAAGAATGGTGGTTCCAACAACTTCAAAGGAAAATTTGACAAGACCTAAGACAATAAGTCTTGGTCGATTTCTCAAAGAATAAGATCGATGATAGAGCTTCTGAATCCTTGAAAAAAGGAGAAGGAAATTCCTATCAGAAAGATGAAGAAAAAAGGTGTGTAGTTCTATAATTATGAAAAATGGGGTTTCTTGGCCAAGAAGCATTGTTTGTACAAGAAAGACAAGGGATCGACAAAAGGCAACGACGAAGGAGAAAACATTGCACATCAAGATTTATATGATTCTGATGATATGATGGTTATGGTTGCGGTTGCAGATGACCATGTCGAATCTAAGATCTGGTTCCTTGACTCAGGCTGCTCAAATCACATGATTGGTCGAAAAGTATGGTTAGTAGATTTTGACGATTCGAAGAAGAGCAAGGTCAAACTTGTTGATAATAGCTCGTTGCAAGCAGAAGGTACTGAAAACATAGTTATTCAAAGGAGTAATGAAGCAAAAGCCTTGATCAAATATGTACTATATTGTAGCGGGGAAATTTGTGAGTGTAAGCTATTGATTAACTTAACTCAAAAATGCAAGAGTCACCACCGCACTTTTATTTTATCCAAAAAGGAAAGAAAAAAGAGCGAACAAAACCTAAAGAGTTCTGTTGCGATCAGAATCAGATATCAAGCTATTAATTAACTTGAACCACGAATCTTTAAATATTCACCATCGAGCTTTGATTTATCCAAAGGAAAGGGTAAAGATCGAAGAAAACCCTAAGTGCGCTACGTTACAACGAAGCTAAGAGATTAGGGGGTTCGGGGTTGGTTATACTAAGGGAAGGTATTAGCACCCTAAGTATCTATAGTACTCCACAGGAGTCTCTTATTTGGTAGTTGTGTTTTTTTTTTGTCAATGTCTATTTGCTAATGGTTATATGCTAAGGTAAAGACCTATGGGTTTGTATACTAAGTATGTTCGCTAAGACGTCGCATCTCATGCCTACGTATCTTAACAAGAATGGAGTTAGAGCAACCGTAGTTCTCCTAACTAGGGAGAGAACTCTTGACTATGGCCAAGGTTCAAGGGGAATAAGTATTCATAATAATGATACTTATGTAAAGTTAACAAACTCTTTAAGTCTATGTTGAAAGACTAACTGGGGGTTTGACTTTAACAAAAGCCAAAAGGGGAAAAGTGAGTAATGGTACACTCATAGAGTTAACAAACTCTAGACCTAAGTTCTAAGTTGTAGGATTCCTAATAAGGTGTGCTAAAGGTCTTGACTTGATAAAGTCAAAGGGATAAGGTTCTCTCAAAGTCCTAATGACTCTAACAAGTTCAAAGGGAGACTAAAAGAAATGATGAGTTATCTATGATATTGAGTCAATATAGAGGCTTTCCTTTGGAAATAGGGACATGGGGAAAATCTTGAGGTTGAAGCTAACAAGTTGCATCACTTGGGGAAACTTAACAAAGTTTAAGCATACATATACATTCATTCAAACATGATGAATATATAATATCATGGTAACAACCAAGAGAGTGAGGAAAACATTTAACAACATCAATCAAGGATAATGACAAGTTACAACCAAATAGCCATCCATGGACTTTTAGAATCAAAACAAATGGTTACAACCAAAGATAAACATAGATGTTACACCATCTAAAAGGGTATGGCAAGACTATCGAGATGAGAAGTCTCGAGAACATGAATTAGGG